TTTATTTAAATATTCTTATTTATTAGATTATATAAAACTACAAATTGTTGATTTTAAATTATTATACCAAATAACTTTTAAAAGGTTTTTTTTTTTTTTAATTTAGTGGAAAATTAAGAAAAGTTTAGTGAGGTTAAGGGGGAGCTGACCAATTATTCTCTTGAGAGGTGAAGTAGGGGACTATATATGGCCTGAAACTCCACACTAGATCAACGCCATAGTTGGGCGAATTCTCTTTGAGAGGAGAGGAGAAGGGACAACCTCGAAGCTAGTTCAAACTAGTGGGAGGTTGTCTGCAAAAAAAAAGCACACTAAAAAAACTTCTATTTCTGATTTCCAAATTAAGAAATCGAAATGGCTCGTGGAAAGGTTCAGATGAAGCGGATTGAGAACCCGGTACATCGGCAGGTTACCTTCTGCAAGCGCCGAGCAGGGCTCCTCAAGAAGGCTAGGGAGCTCTCCGTGCTGTGCGATGCAGAAATTGGAATTTTCATTTTCTCCGCCCACGGAAAGCGCTATGAACTGGCCACGAAAGGGTTTCTCTCCCTTCTCCTTTAATTAGTTTCTTTCCCTTTTCTTTTTTTTTTTTTGACTTGATCCTCCTTTCCCATGCCCCTTGCTATATGTTGTCCGTAATGGAATTTGTGTGCATAACTCATCTTCATGATAGAAACATATAAACTTTGAAACCTTCTAACTTGGAAAGTGTCAGTTCTTGAGGGAAATCTTCACGTTCAACTCATATTCATGGGAGATAGATATAGATATATGCATGTACGTGTATATGTAACACAAAATTGAGGAAAAAAGCAAGATACAAACTCGTTTATAGAAGAAAAGAAAAGGAATAATAATTGAGGAATTTTTTTTCTTTGGTATATGAAGGGAAGTTTGTAAAGTGTTTTTATTTTTGGTCATCTTGTCTCTAGAGGAGTTCGGATTAATTATTTTGGTTTTACTGAGAGTTCTCTCTTTTTTCGATGTGGAAAGGACCATGCAGGAGCTGATTGAAAGGTACATGAAGTCCACCGGCCTCCGGGGAGCTCAGCTGGATGAGCATCAAGCCATGGATACGTTGCAGCATCTGGTGACACTTAGTAGCTCTTGCTATATTCTTGCCATACATATATATTTTTTTTGGAGATACAATATAGTACGGTTTTGAGCTTAAGTTTTGGTGTGTATTGAAAAAGTTGCAAAAGGAATATTATTGCTACTGTTGTTTAAAAAAGCGAGGCAGCATCGGATGCTTTTAAGTGTGCTTTATTAAGAAAACTTTTATTAAAAAAGTTATTAAGAAAGTCTTGTATGAAAAATAAATAAGTTTTATAATAAAATTTTATAGTAAAATTTTGTTAGAATTTTATTAATTTGTTAATTTTTTGTGTTTAATAAAATAATTTTTACTTTAAGAAATATAAGAAAAAAATTTATGGATTAAAAATTATATTAAAAACTAAAAGTTAAAAATAAAAGTTTTATCTTTTTTTATTATAATATTAATATATAAAAATATATAAAGAATCTTATAAAATAAAAAATTTTAAAAATTAAAAAAAGCTTTTTCTCCTACCAATCATCCCCTAAGTACTTAACTGTTTTGTGCATATTTAGAGTTGCATAGTCGACGTCGTGTCACTTGTTAAATCACTAATTTATATCAAAAGTTTCGAACAATTAATGTTAATTAAAAAAATTTTGGATAAATCATAATTAACATTAGTTAATTTAATGAAGGAGAGAAGAATATAACTAAAAACCATTTAATTTATTTTTGGAAATAAATAAATAATTAAGTTGTTAATGGAGTATGATGTACAAGAAAAAACAGATAGTTTTTTTTTTTTTTTTTGATGATGAAGGTTATTACTTATACTAAAAGCATTCAGTATTATCTCATATGGTATAGACTATATATGGTAGTTTTATTGAATAATATATTGTGTAGAAGTATTATTTAATTTGTTTAATTTTTTTGAATTCTCTATTTTACAGTAAGAATTCTATAACACTCTTATCATCATCATTCATCATATATCATCATCATGCATCTCACTGATGAGCAATATAATTTTGCAACTAGGAAGTGGCCAAAAGGGAGATCAACTTGCTAAAGCAAGAGATAAATATACTCCAGAAAGGTCCCAGGTATTTACAAGTAATTCCAACTCTCTTGTTAATTTTTTCTTTGGCCCCGCGCCTTTTTTCTTGTTAATTAGTTACCCTTCACGTTTACTCTGATAAGGTCTAATAGGTCTTGCTTCTTGAAGTTTCTCATTGGCAAAAAAAAAAAAAAAAGAGAAGAAAAGAAGAAGAAATACTCCATATATTCATTATTAAGTAAACTTGTTTTACAAATTAAATTAAATTATAAAATAAAAATCATTAACTAAATTTATTTTATTTTATTTAATTTGATAACTAATATTATATACTATAAATTACACAGCACTTTTTTTTATCATTAAACAATTAATCTATGTGTAGAAAAGAGAGATAGTTGGACTAATAATAATTACACAATCTTGCTCATTAGGTTGTTTGGGGGTGAAATTGGGACTATGACGCTGGATGAACTGCTTCTACTCGAGAAGAATCTTGAGCTTTGGATTTATCATACACGCTCAGCTAAGGTACCAATTGTCAACATTTTCACTTTGATAAAAAATAAAAAGTTTTCTACAGTCGAAACCGACAAAATAATATGATGTGGATTTTTCCCTTTTTTTATATTTAATTAATGACAGTAATTGTTTTACTCACACTAAAAAATAATTAAATCATTTTTTGTTCTCATATATAAATATATAATCATTAATTGCATCTGCAACACTTGTTGCACTGGATAAATCCATATATATCAAGGTTAAGATCTTAATTTTAATCTTTGTAAACCCCTCTTTCCTCGTATTTCTCTTATGTTCAAATAAAATATATATATATATAATCATTAATTAGGAGTGTAGTCATGTGTCTAGCATATAGTCAATATCTCACATATGGATTTAATTAATTTAATATTTCAGATGGATATTATATTTCAAGAGATCCAATTGTTGAGGAACAAGGTGAGCCCTGAAATGTTTTTACTGCTATTATATATTAAGTCATATATGACGCTTGATTTAGTTACTTGTCCCCAAAACTTATGATATGTTGGTTCTTGGTGCTGAAGGAGGGCATGCTGATATCTGAAAACAAGCTCCTCCAAGATAAGGTAATTAAAAAATACATACAATTAAATTGTATATGTGATATTTACTTTTGGGGATGATTATCATAAGCATATAAATCTTCTAATAACCCGAATTCAATTTACGTTACTTTTGCAGATAGAGGAGAACAATGGAGTTGTTACTAACTTTGCACCTTTAATACAGACTACCATGCCAGGTCCACTGACCCTACAGGATGAAATATTTCAGCTCTAGGGAAAGTTTTTCTCTCTGGCTAATTGCTATGGAGTTCTAGTTGATGTCGAACTTCATTAATTTCTAATTAGTGTGTTATGAAGAAGTAATTGGTCGGTCATGTATGGGTTTAGGGTGCAACTTGTTAAGAGTCGTTAGTTTCCTCTGAGTTTGCAATGGCATATTATTAGCCATCAGTTTGTAGGAATGTTGGATCAGAAATTGTGTGTTTAAACAAACCATTTGTTTTGTCTCGGTTATTGTAAACTTAAGAATGCAAGTTGGTTTTCTAGCTAGATACTATGTGGTGTCACTCATTGTATTGTTTTCAATCTAGTCTTTTAAAACATCATCTTTTTCTTGAGCAATTGTTATGGCTTAAATGATTGTAATTAGAAGATCACGGGTTGTGGGTTGCCAATTCACAATGAGGGTAAATTCTTTCACAAGGCAAATTATTTCAATGAATGACTAAGATTGTGCTACATGTGACTCTCTCATAGATCATGTCTATAACCTTCAACCTACATCCTTCTATATCCTTCTAGTTAACTTTCCAAAGAACATCCTAGAGAAGGGTTCTTCCATATACGACTCATAGAAATTAATTTTCTGTGAACTAAATGCACCATTAGCTCTATGCTATACCCCCAAACTACACAATTTTTTTTTTCTTTAATGAGTCCCGAACTACACAACTTAACCAGATTTCTTCATGTCTCTCCACTATTTTCCCCTACTCTACTCTATAATGTCCCGTGCCATATATTCCCAATTCATTTTTTCTACTAGTATTTCAATCTCAAGACGGTAACAGCCAAGAGAGGGTGATGAATAAATACGCTAACTATCTCAACTGCCCACCCATAGATTGGCCCGATGCAGGTGAACCCACTTAATACCCCAAGTCAAAACCTATTCACAGCACAAAACAAAATCTGCATGGAATTCTTGGAAAGCCCAATTCATGATCTGCCAAAAAGGAAAAACTTGTTGAGAAATTCAATTGAGTTCAAAATGCAAACCAGTCAGCTTCTTTCCCTCTTGATTTTTCTTCTTAAGGTTAAAAACCAAGCTGATTAGGATTAATTAGCCTTAAGTTATTTGTTTGCTTTTGAGATTATGTCTTCTATATCTGCCCAATTCTTCACCAGCATACAGGCATGAGTCATTACTACTCCTATTCCCATTGACTTCATTTACTAGTGATTTTTTAGATCTTGACCTATAATTGTTAATGAGTTTATCTAATTTGTACTTTAAAAAAATATTTATTATATCTTTTAAATTTTAATTAAAAATAAAAAAAATTAATATTAATTTTAACAACATATTATTTAGATTTTTAATTAAATAATTAATAAATTAATATCAATTTTCCTTTTTTTTTAAATATAAATTAATATTTAAAAAATATAATAAATGCATCCTCATGCTTTAGAAAAACCAATAATTAATTTCTCTCATCCCTAATGTCCACATATTTTTAGGGTTGATTAATTAGCAATCCTAAAAGTGAAAATGATGGGTTTTCCTTTTTTGTTTTATGTTGGATATGGAGCCAAAAAATTCAAAAGCCTCCCTCAATAATCCTCCTATAGAAACTGAAAATGCACACATGACAAACTCTTAATTTGCTTCATCCACTTGTTCATGATTTGCAATATGGCTCGCACAGGTGAACACTAATGCAAAATTAGCAACAACAATTGCTCTCTCTCTTAAAAGAAAAAGGAAAGACGGTGATTAGATTATAGGCTGTGCTCCAAAAATGAGAGTAAAGTAGCACTCAGATTAACCTCTTTTGAGGCAAGTAGCTAGCAATATGCATCCTTAGTAATTATACACTGAATAACAACAAAAACATAAATAAATATACAGAAGAGCGTAAGGGGTAAAGAGCAGCAGGGGGGTCGGAATGCGTAACCTTTTCGAGGTAAACGCCAGCTCGTTTTGTTACTCTTCAACATTGTGTAATTACTACAATGGAGGAAAAACAGATGAACTCATTTACTCCTTCCTCAACTACCCTAATCCCCCCTGTTATTTAACCCCGGCCCCTTTTACTCTTCCGTACGCTTTACTGCCCTGCTTTCACTCAGTCATCTGCTGTTTCTTTTCAACAATGGCTAATTTCAGAATATCAGTTTCGGTGTTGTTTTGCATTGTGTCGGCGGGGCTGGCAGCTGGGCAAGATGGAGGTCCGTTCGGGGCGTCACAGGGTGGGATGAGGAGGGAGATGGTACCGGCTTTGTTCATTTTTGGAGATTCTCTTATTGACAATGGGAACAACAATAACATTCCTTCGTTTGCCAAGGCTAACTATTTTCCCTACGGAATTGACTTCAATGGCGGTCCTACCGGGCGCTTCTCCAATGGCTACACAATGGTTGATGAAATAGGTGAACCTTTCCCTTCTCTTTTTCTTACTCTGTTACTTCTGTTTTCTGCTAAACTCGAGTTGGTAGCCATTCACTCCAGTAGCACGATTGGACACTTAAAAAGGCTGAAACTGTAAAAATTAAAATAGAACCCCTTTTTTTCACTCAAATTGACCTTTTACTTTTTCTAATTGAACACTTAAATCTGCATCCATGCAGCTGAATTGCTGGGACTACCTCTGATCCCTGCATACTCTGAAGCTTCTGGGGATCAAGTGCTCCATGGGGTCAACTATGCCTCAGCAGCTGCAGGAATTCTTGACATCACCGGAGGAAATTTTGTAAGAGAACTCACTCTTAAAAATGTCTAATTTTGATTTGAATGCCTAATGAAGTGGTGGATTTCCTTGGTTTTTGCTTGGGCAGGTCGGTCGGATACCGTTTGATGAACAGATCAGGAACTTCCAGAGTACCCTTGATCAGATTACAGCAAACCTTGGGGCAATTGATGCAGCGCGGTCCTTGGCAAAGTGTCTGTTCTTTGTGGGGATGGGCAGCAATGACTACCTCAACAACTACCTCATGCCTAATTACCCAACCCGAAATCAATACGATAGCCAGCAATATGCTGATCTCCTTGTTTCACAATACGATCGCCAACTCACTGTAAGATGTTCTTCCCTCCCTGAAAAGTGCATGCCATTCTTTGCCATAATTTTTGTACAGAGATTTTGGAACATTTTTTTGATGTTTTTGAATGGCAGCAACTTTACAATCTTGGAGCACGGAAATTTATCCTGGCGGGGTTAGGAAGAATGGGCTGCATTCCGAGCATCCTGGCTCAGAGCTCAAGTGGCGGCTGTTCAGAAGAAGTGAATCAGCTTGTTTTACCTTTCAATGCAAATGTGAAGGCCATGATGAACAGACTTAATGTCAATCTACCCGGTGCCAGATTCATATACATTGATAGTGCAAACTTGTTTGAAGACATTGTCACCAATGCTGGAACTTATGGTACGTTTCAATTAGCAGTTTATTAGCACTATTAAAAGCAGAGGTCCATGCTCAAATTCTGAGATTAATTTTGGATGTTGAACTTTTGCAGGATTTAGTGTTGTAGATCGTGGGTGCTGTGGCATTGGGAGAAACAGAGGGCAGGTTACTTGTCTTCCATTTCAAACACCATGTCCAAACAGAGATGAATATGTTTTCTGGGATGCGTTCCATCCAACTGAAAAGGTGAACATCATCATGGCGAGGAAGGCCTTCAATGGGGATATAAGCATAGTTTATCCCATAAACATAGAGCAACTTGCCAATTTTGATATTGAGAATTAGTTAAAAGAAAAGGAGTCCGTGGATTCCCTCTTGAAGGGAAAAGAGGAATCAAGTCTGATTTTGCACTTCAATATGGCTTCATCATTCCTGGAATCAGTACGACTTGTGTTAATCTCCATGTATTTCAATTTCATGTTCTTCGGTAATACATATCGTAGCACTGTTAAGTTTAAATTTTCAATTTTAAATTTAATTTTCTAGATTCAACTCTCCAAAGCTTTATATAACTTGTATTAATTGATTAACTTGTGTCAGTTAATTAGTATGATGGTAGTTTTTTATTTTAATTTTTATAAATTTTTTAACTATTGAAAATTAAAATTAAAGATAAAAAACTAACAATTTATATAAGATAAATCTAAACACCATTAGTGAAAAAACATAAATTTATTTCATAATATTAAAATTACTTTTTTCTTATTTCTCTTATAATTATAATAATATATTGAAAAAATATATAAAACTAAACAACTTTTTTTATTGGAATTATAAATTTTTATAAAAATCAAAATAAAAAACCACAACTATATTAAACAGAGTTTGAATTATTGAGTGCATTGTTATATATAAGTAATAACACTAGTTAAGAATTCTGATAAACTAGTTAAAAATTTTGAAAATTAGATCCATTGGTAAGTGAATATTGTTTTGTAAATTAGGTTTATAGCCTATTAATTTGGTTTGAAGAGAGTAGAGGAAAAATTATTATAACCAATTAAAATTTTTTTGTTGGTTCAAAAATTTAATTTAATTGGTTGAAATATAGTTGCCTCCTCTCCATTTCTCTCCCTTTTCCCTTCATTTCCTTTAAATCAAACAAGTTATTAGGGTTTAAGTCTTAGTAGGAGTATCTTAAAAAATTAATTTTTTTAAATGTACTAAATTGATTTAGAGGTGTGTGGTTAGGATTGTCAAGGAAGAGATTAGTTTTAGAAATGTATGAAAACAAATTCTAGATACCCTGATCATAAATACTAAAAAAAATATTCAAAATATTATTCTTTAGTAGACTAGATTGTCAAAGAAGAGATTAGTTTTAGAAGTACATGAAAACTAATTAAGGACACCTTGATCATAAATGCTAAAGAAAAATCAAAAAATTATTTCCTAGGTAGACTTGCAAGAGAAAAATATAGAAATGTCATTAAAATTATTTAAATATCCTTGATGAATTCTCATTATGTGTTCATTTACTAGGAGTATTTAGTTAATCTTATATATATTCTCTCTCTCTCTGCCTCTCTTTTTTCTCTTACAAATCAACCTAAAAATTTGCAACCCTATGAATAAATCTGGTTAAGGATCCATACTTCCATGGTCTGGAAATTAATATATGGTGAAATTAGCGATGCGTATTGTGTAGAACCTAGAAAACTTTATTCTCATAAATAATAATTCCTGGTAAACTTCGTGGACACACCAAATCGAATGAGAATTAATTCATTGGCTAATATGGAAAACTAAGGCAACATTCTTATTTTTAATTAACACACTAGTTCCATGGATTCTGTTCCCATTGACATCTCTTCCAATTTCAAGATATTTAAAAAAAAAAAAATTTTTATGTACACCATAAACAATAACTTTCCCCTGGGGGGTCCATCAATACATCAATATGAATTCAGTATTTCAGCTGCTTCATGAGCAATGTCAAGCCAACATGAAAATTATATATTTTTCTAGGCATTTAAAATAACGCAAGTCGGCTTCATGGGAAGAAATATAAATTAAACTACTCCCTCTAAAGTAAAAGTGTTTTTTTCTTTCTTAATCTTAGATTACATAATTAAAAATTTTATTTTTTTATCTCTTAATTTATACCTCACATGTATGTTATTTGATTCAGATTTAAGCTTTCTCACTTTTATGAACTATTCACCTGGTTGGCCTCCACTACAAAAGTTGAAACTGTCGAACTCTGTGTTTAAAAGCCCCCCCCCCCTTTTTTTTTAAACGTCGAAGTGAGCTAAAAGCTGAAGTTACAAAAATGTCCTCTGAAAAGTAATTTAAGGTATGTAAGAACTTTGGGAAGCAAAGGCAAGTCAGCAATGTTAATGCTCATCATGTCAAAAGCAATGCATGTGTGTATCGTCAAAATAGGGATTTTTGGGTCTCTTTGGCTGAAATGGGTGAGGATAATGCGATAAGCTCCAGCTGAGTTTCCCATTTCTATGGCTTCCTTTGTTGTACTGTGGTTTTTGGCAATAGCCTCCTCCACCAAGCCATCCTCGAAGGTCGCCTTTAAAATCATGAAGAAGTTGGTCAGCATGAGAGCATGATATAGATGATTTAATGGAAGAAGAATCAATGTAGGTGCAAAATTAAGTCATATGTTAAAGCAAAACTAAAGCTAAATATTAACCATAAGGGTCATGATATGGTTAATCAATGTAAGATTAGACCTAAAATGTGGTCTACGAATATTTCCTGGGTGCCTAATTAGCACGACTGACTCATTGCAGGTTTACAAACATCCTCACTTAATTGCTCATTCAAGATCTGTGATTATCAATCATAGATGCATCTATTGATGCAGCATTAAAATCCAAAGTCATTGCATTTGTTATGCAATGCACTATGCTAAGGATGATAGACTGATAGTCCAGAATTCTGAAAGCTAAGATGGTAATTACACATGAATTGTAGGTTTTATCCTGACTTACCTCATGTATAAGAACAGTTGCTCCACGACATGCCTCTCTGAGTTCTGCGAAGGGCCTTGTGTCACCTGAGTACCCAATCTTCCAACCCGGGATCACTTTTTCAATACTGTTCACTCTTTCTGCCGCCTTCAAAGCAATACCATATGCCTGAGGGCAATGCACAACAGGAAAACTAATCAACGCCTCCAATCCAGACTCAAGTAGCATTTTCTTCAATCTCTCTAGGATTGGATAAGCCGCAGAGTTGTCAATTGGACTGCCTGGTCTCTGCCAAAAGCTTTGCATCTGGCTTCCTCTAGCGAAAAAAGATCCGTTGTTATCTTGCAATCTTTTATTGTTGATATGTAAGCTAAGTGCACTTCCTGAAGCGGATTGATCCTTATTTGATTCAAATTCATGGTCAGAAGCATTCCAGGAAGCTTCCGTAGTGCTCCTACAATCAAGGAACTGCATATCAAGATCTTCAAGTCTTCGATATGCATCTAGAAATCCCTTGAGCTGGCGTGGCCCTATTACCAGCAATGGTTCATGAGGTACTCCCCTCAACAGATCACATCTCAGAGCAAGCACCCTTGGCAGATCTGTGTGATGGTCAGCATGAATATGTGAAATCCACACAGATTTTAGGTTTCTAACAGTGTCATTTGCACTATCTATGCCATATCTGCTCTCAACATAAGACCAATTATTATGAATGAAAAAGGACATGGAAAAGCTCAGGATAATAATATCTAACTAAAAAGTTGCCAAATGTACCTTCTTTTCAGTTGCCCCAATGTTCCTTCTCCACAATCGAAGAGCAAACTTCCTTTGGAGAAGAAATTAATATAGATAGAACTAACATTCCAGTATTTAGAAGGCTGGGATGAACCAGTCCCAAGAAGAACAATTTCAAGGTCATCTCTCCTCATTTTTTCCAGACAACTAGGAAGAGTGTTCTCATCCAACCATGGCTCTTTGATCACATGTTTATTATCTTTCACAGGATTTAACTCTTTTTCTTCCTTGAGCTCATGCCAGAGCTGCTTGACATGATTGGCTGGATCCACAATCTCTGAAACCTCTGCAAGTAACTCATCAATTATTTGAGAATGGATTGCCAGACTTGGGATTTGAGATCTGTCCAGTCCAAGCTGAGCATGAGGACGCAACAAAACTGCAGGCATGAAAGAGAAACGCTATTAATGATTAAACACTATACAGCATAATAAGATATATCAATAGACAACAAATTGGAAATGGACTAAGAAACCAGTTACTGAGGGTGCAGAAAGCAAGGTTTCTTCTTGTTGCCAGAAACCAGTTACCATTAAATATTAGAACTGGGAAAAGGGTGAATTCTTCAAAGAAACAGATACCTTTAGGAGATTTTCAGCAGAAATGCTTTCACAAAGATATGAAGCAGGACCCTGTTAAACAGAATAAAAAATCAACATATCAGTTTCCTGAAACATTTCAAACAATCACTATTAATTGCTAATGATCTGCATATATCTTTCAATGAAGTCAGAATAAGCCTTGCTAGCAGCATTAGCATCTGGATTGAGTAATTGAGCTTGTTAAGCAACCAGAAACCTGAAGCAGGAAAGAACTGTGGACAAACATAATTAAGTTAGGCTGCAATTCCTGCACTGGCTTTTAGAATTGGGATCTCCACATTCTTCCTGCAACCAGCAAATATTTCCAAAGAAACCATCAAGGAAGTAGGCAAGAAAATAACCAATGTTGCTCTCAAGGAAGAAGCAAAAATGAAAAATATAAAAAAATTGAGAGAGAGGCTCACATTTCATGTCCAGCAACAATTCCTCGAGCCAAACCAAACTTCTTCATCCATTTCTGGTAACTGGGATTGTTTACAACAGAAACAGGCCTTAGATGGATGACACAATTCACAGACTTGGCACTTTTTGTTTTGTTGCCAGACAAATCTGTATAATATTCCCCAAGACATTCTATGGACAACAATTCCTCTACATGAGATTCCGTGGGACAGTCAACCAGGAAGAAAATGGGAGCAGGAATTGGAGGATCCATAACATCAATTGGATGAACCTACATGGTAAAGTATATAAATTATGGGTAAAACCATATCACAATTCAAAAGTAACAAATTTCAGACACACCAAAAGCATTGGAGGGCCACAAAAATTGTATATCGTTTCACAGATTACAAACCATGATCTCAAGGTTGTCTGATTTGACTGAATTCCCCTTTTGCAACTCCCGATACCTTGGCCCAGGCTTCAGCTCAAGAGCAACAGCCTCTGTTGGGTCAAATTTCCCCATAGCACTGGCAGTTCACAAATATAAATGACAGACATTTCACCTGGCCTTACTGGCAACCATTCTGAGTGATTTGGACGAAGGAAAACAGTTGATATTTTAACAACCTCATCATTGACAAGAACAAGTGGGTCTGCAAATTTACTTGGATCAGGTGGAGCAGCAGCGTAAGTTCGACCAAAGCTTTGAGTATGAATCATCGCAGCATAAAAGACTTCATTGCATCGACTAAATATGTAAGATCTGAGGGACCCCAGATTTTAACCTTCAAGAATACACAGGATGAAATTTACTTAATGTGGCCCTATTGCTAATATATTTTAAGAAATAGTAAAAATAAGAAACTTATGAGTCAGCTTATACTCACATACATCCCTTCTTCTCCCATGCCAGCCAAAGTCAGCAACAAACCTGTTATGTACGGTGAAAAATGATGAAACAAGGCTATCTTCTTCACTTATAAAGTACTAATTAATAGCAGCATAAACTCTAATGCTTAGAAACAATATAATTAGAGATGTCAAATATCAAGATTCAGGATAAAAACCTGGAAGTCCACCTGCTGTCTCTGAACAAACATGAGAGAGAATTATGTGATCTATCTGAAGAAACATCCACATTAGACAAACTAGGAAGTTCAAAAGTAAAAATTCAAAAACACATGGCATTGCACACCTTAGATAATTTAATCTTATGCTCTGTGCAAAATCTTTGCAATCCCTGCAATGACAATGGATTTTATGGCATCATTACAATGTAAACAGGAGCTCATATATACTTTAGAAAGAATCACATTTTAACATCTTTAAAACAACAGTAAGCTAAAACACAATTCTTTAAAAGTAAAACCGATAAGCTAACATAAGTCTCTGGAAGACATTAAATTTAGATAATGTCATCCCATGTGTACCTCTCCTGCATTGAAAATAAATCTCTGCTTGTCGAAGAAGAGAAAAACTGAAGGTGAGGTATCTTGTGTATCCATTCCAGTCCCCAGTATCTGCCAGTATTAATGAAAAATCCATTATTTGTGATCTAAATTATGTACCAACTCCAGAAGATTTCCACTTAAAAACAAAGAAGACCATATTGAACCCCATAGCAAATGCACAAACTAGCATTGTTCTGGCATTGCAAACCACTACTTATTAAACACATTGGAAACAGGGATTTGAAATTGCAAAAGGAAAATAGCATACCCATGGTTCTGAAAATATATCAGAAGCAAAACAAGCAAATTCTAACAAAACCCATAAGCTTAGCAAACACAAGAGAAAAACAAGAGGGGATTAAAACAAAAAAGAAAAATACCTGCAAATATGCAATTGTATTGGTAGGATTAAGCGTCCGCGTTTTCAAATGGAGATTCTTCTTAGGCCTGTCATTCTCGTCTTTCCCCTCCGCCCTCTTTTGTTAAACCCAAAAAAGAAGACTTGATTTCATCCATTACTGCTTCTTTGCCTCTATCTTTGCTCTCCTTGAACATGCTGCTGTTTCTTCCGGTGAGGTTGAGAGAATCCCGGTACCAATTGGGCCGTTGTCGCCTGGGTGAGGAAGAAGAGGGGACAGTGAAGAGAGAGTAGGGTTTTGGTTTGGGTTTAGAGATGAAGAGAGGGAAAGAAAGGGAGGGTTTAAGGCTTAGAGGTGAGGAACGGAGGCGCAGGTTCGGTGAAATACTACATTGCATTTCGGTTTTTCTTCGAAATGGTTTAAGCCTTTTAGGCTTTGGCGGCTTTAACGGTAAATAGCCATAGAGATGGCGAAAGTGATATAATAAGTTTATTTATTTATTTTTGATTTTTGGTTTTTGGGAAAAAAATTAAATTTAAGATTTTATTTAAAAGAATACTGATTTTTTTTATTAAAATTAATAGATTATTGATAATATTATAAATTTATAATAATAATATTAATATATAATTAATTTGTTACTCATATATTTATGATGATATTATATATGTTTATTTAATAAAATGTTATATTTATGTAATGATATTATATATATTTATTTAATAAAATGTTATATTTATTTAATAATATATTTGTTTACACCATAAATTGCAAAATTTTAGATTAATGCCACGTGTAAAATTTTTATTGGCTGGAGGAGTTTTGAGCCATGTCAGATTCGGATCCTGGGCCCCATGACAAATCAGCACATGTGTTGGCAAGATGAGAGAGATAAAGATAATGTTGAGTAATTATCTTTTGAAATAGAAAGAGATAATGGTAGTTGGCAAGATAGGGGAGTATCACATTTAAAAAGGGGATTAGACTAGGTCAAAGGTGAGGTGTCCCATTACTCCAACAAACTTCCGATGGTTGAGCAACTGCCGGCATGAATGGGGAACAAAAAGGAAACTT